TTTCTTTAAGAGCAAAATGTTATAAAAAAAAAATTATGGTATCTCAACAAAATATCTTCAAGAACAAAATGTTATAGAAAAAAAAGATGTTCTGGTTTCTTGTCTATGAGAATTACTTCAAGAAGAAAGTGTTATAATATATATATATATATATATATATATATATATATATATATATATAATGGCATCTGGTCTATGAAAATTACTTCAAAAAAAAAAAAAAAGATATTATGGTATCTGGTCTATGAAAATTACTTAAAAAAAAAAAAAAAAAAAAAAAAAGATATTATGGTATCTGGTCTATGAAAATTACTTCAAGAACAAAATGTTATAAAAATACGATTTAGTAGTTTGTCTCAGAAAATGTCTTATAAACAAACTGTTATAAAAAGGCGTTACTGAATAAACACAAAGCCACGGAAATACATTACTCGTAAACACGTAACTATTATGTTGTTGTTTCTTTTTTGTTTGTTTGTTTGTTTTGTTTTGCTTTGTTTCTTTTCTTTGCTTTGTTTCTTTTCTTTTATTTTATTTTTTCTCCTTCTCTTCTGTGTGTGCTTTATTTTCTCCTCCTCTTCCTCCTTAGCCATCTTCTTGGCCTCATCCTCTTTCGCCTCCCACCTCTTCTTTTTTTTTCTTTTTCTTTTCTTCTTTTTCTTTTTCTCTTTTCTTTTCTTTTTCTCCCCTCTTCCTTTTCCTCTTATCATCTTCCTCTGCCTCTTTCCCTTCCTCCACCTCCTCCACTTCCTCCTCCTCCTCCTGTTGAGAGAGAGAGAGAGAGAGAGAGAGAGAGAGAGAGAGAGAGAGAGAGAGAGAGAGAGAGAGAGAGAGAGAGAGAGAGAGAGAGAGAGAGAGAGAGAGAGAGAGAGAGAGAGAGAGAGAGAGAGAGTGGTATGGTTTAAACGACAACAGTTACGGAAAAAAACAAACTACGGCAACCCCAGGTCAAGATCAGCTGTTCCCTCCCTTAATCAGCTGATCACGACGCGCGTGAGTGTATACGAGCGTGATCCCCAATGCACACATGTTCATTCAGATCTTGATACAATTTGACATCTTTGGGGGTGGGGAGGAGTATAAGGTTACATTAACGAATGAAAAAATAATGTGAAGAAGCAAGTATTTCAAATTGGTAAAAGAGAAAGAAAGAAAGAAAAACGAAGAACCGAGAAATGTATATCAAGTCATTATCATAAATAAAGCAGCGGAAAGGAATAAAAAGAAAAAAATATATACAGAGAAGCAGACACGCATATCGAAAAATAGAATAACTTGGAAATGGACACAAAGAAAGGGGGGAAAAAATGACCTTCCTCGTCTTTTAGAATAAGGAAATGGAAACCAGAGATATGAGGGATGCTGCTCTCACATCTCTCGCAGCTTCACGAAATGTCTCTCTATCGATGGTCATCTCAGCTGTGCCAGAAAGATGCCCAGATATTTGTTTAATTCTTCAATCATATCGTTTATCTGTTTATCTTCTTTTTTCTTTTTTGACGAACATCTGGAATATGAAAAAGTAAAAGAAATAAAAGAATAACCGAGGTAAATATATATATATATATATATATATATATATATATATATATATATATATATATATATATATATATATATGTATGTATATATATATATATATAGATAGATAGATAGATGCGATGCCACTGACTGTCACGTGATTTTGGTTCGATCTTTGTTTTCATTTTTTTTCTTTTCTTTTCTTTCTTTCTTTTCTACTATTGTCGTTTTTTTATTATTACTTATGTCATTGTTTGTTTATCTATGGGTAGTGTTGTTGGTATTATCATTATTGTTGCTATGGTCATTATCGTTACTGTTATTACCATGTTTTTTATCATCGTTATCATTATTATCATCATCATTGTTTTTCCGTTATTGACAGTACTATTAGTTATCATTATCATTATCATTCCTAGTATTCCCAATTTTATTAGCATTATTATCATTATTGTTGTTGTTGTTTTGTTGTTGTTTTTATTGTTATAATTATTATCATTTTTTTATTATTATCACTATCGTTATTTGTTATTATCATTATCATTCTTATTTTCATTATTATCATCATTGTTATTACTATTATTGTCATTAGCATTAATTCTATTATTATCATCATTATTGTTATTATTATTATTATTATTATTATTATTATTATTATTATTATTATTATTGTTGTTGTTGTTGTTGTTGTTATTATTACCATTACTATTACTATTATTACTATTATCATTATCATTATTGTTATCATCATCATTATCATTAATATCATAATTATTCTTATCCTTATTATTATTATCCTTATCATCATTGATATTATCGTTATCAACAAAGAAGAATGTGTAGGGAACCAGTAGGAAAAACATCGAAATATTTTTTCTTCTTCTTTCTTTTTTTTTTTTATTGTCGTTTTTTTATTACTAGTGTCATTTCTTTCCATGATGACTATTAGTATCATTATTGGTATTATTATTTTGTTGTTAGTGATCCTCGTTATTGTTGTTGGTAATATTATTGGGGTGAATAATGGGATCATTATTATTATTATCATGTTTTATTGTAATTTTCATTAGCATAATTATTTTCGCTTTTCTATAATCATTGTCATCATTGTTACCGCTGTCATTATCATTATTATTCCTATTATCATTATTATTACTACCATCCTTATTATTGTTATGTCTATCATTATTGTAATCATTATTATCATTAATATTGTTGTTGTAATTGTTATTATCACTATCATTATCATTATTATTGTTACTTTTATTATCATTGTCATTGCTATCATCATCATTATTATTATGATTATCATTATCAGTATTGTTACTGTTATCATTATTATCATTATTATTATCAAAATTATCTTTATCATTATTATCATTACTTGTCTCGATGCTGCTATTATTTCCAATTATCCTTATTATCATTGTTCTTATCATTATCTTTATTATTGTTGTTGTTATTGTTTTTTTATTATTGTTATTATCATAATCATTGTTATCATTATCATTATCTTATTATTTATCATTATTATATATTATTATATTATTATTATATTATTATTATTATTATATTATTATATTATTATTATTATTATTATTATTATTATTCATTATTATTATTATATTATTATTATTATTATTATTATTATTATTATTATCATTATTATATTTTATTATTATTATTATTATTATTATTATTATTATTATTATTATTAATTATTTTTATTATTATTATTGCTAATATCATTGTTATTATTATGATTATGATCACTATTATTATTATAATTATTTTTGTCATTAATACTATCAAAATTATTATTATCATCAATATCATTATCATTATTATCATTATCATTATTACTATTACTATTATTATCATCATTATTGTTACTATTATCACTATTATACTATTCATTATCATTACTCATTGCTAGCATTATTGTTATCATTAGTAGTAGCATTATCATTATTATGATCATTGTTGTTGTTATTATTTCATTATTATCATTATTATTATTACTATTGCTATTATCATTATTGTTATTATTATCATCATTATCATTACCATTTTTATTATCATTATCATTATCATTATTATTATTATCATAATGAACATTACTATTGTTATTGTTGTGATTATTGCAATTCCTATTACTATTGCTATCATTATTATCATTATTATTATTATCATCATTGTTATTATATTTATCATTATCATTACTGTTATCATTATTATTAATATTATCATTATCATTATTATTATTATTATTATTATTATTATTATTATTATTATTATTATTATTATTATTATTATTATTATTATTATTATTATTATTATTAATATGATTATTATTATTATTATCATTGTCTTTATTGCTGTTGTTATTATGTTTATAAGTCATATTACTATAATTAATGCTATTGCTATTGTTATTATCATTAATATTATTATTGTTATCATCGTTATCGTCATTGTTATTACCTATATCATCTTTATTATTATTATTATTGTTATCATTATTATTAATATCATTATCATTATTATTATCATTATCATCATTATTATTATTATTATTATCATTATAAGAATTATTATCATTATTATTATTATCATTATTTTTTTCTGTTATTTCTATTTTTACTTTTATTCTTATTCTTATTCTCATTCTTATTCTTATTCTTATTCTTATTCTTATTCTTATTCTTAAATTTATTCTTATTCTTATTCTTATTCTTATTATTATTATCATTATTATCATTATCATTATTATTGTTATTGTTACCATTATCATTACAATTATTATCATTATTATTATTATTATTACAATTAATTTGATCGTTATCGTTATCAATACCATCAGCTTTATCATAACCATAATGATTCCATCATCATTGCTTTTCTTTTACATCGCTGAACCTGATCTATCATAGTTTACCCTTCAAAAAAATCTCACAAGAAAGAAAACGGAAATATAGAAAACGTCTCCTTCCCGCTATGAACGAACACAAATGGCGACAGGAAAAGTTGTCATTGATGTTGACAACATGACAGATAAATGTGATAAAAGAGAATGACAAAAAGAGAGGAGAAATGTTCTATTATATAGTGACGGAGGCTAGTGGGCGGGGCCTTGAGTGGGGGGGGGCACATGGATTACAAAGAGGCAGTGCCGTGTTTAATCAATTAAAGATGTGAATAGATAGATAGATAGATAGATAAATAGACAGATAGATAAACAGACAGACAGATAGATACATAAAAAGACAGAGAGAGTGATAGTTAAACAGACAGACATAGATAGATAGAAATAGGTAAAGAAAGAGAGAGATTGATAGACAGTGCTAAGTATTGAGACAAAGACTGACAAATAAGTAGTTTTTTTTAGTGTAGATAAAAAGTATTTACAAGTTTTTTTTTTTTTTTTTTTTTTTTTTTTTGGGGGGGGTAAGTCAAGGAAGAAGTAAAAATAAGAATAGAAAGAGTATTTTTATATTTGCAACTTCAGAAGCCTAAAAATATGTATGTATAAATATCTATAAAATCCCAACAGTTTGAAAAACTCAAAAGCATAAAGTAGAAAAAAATAATACTTGCTGTACACATAAACATATTTTGGAATATAATATTTTTTAGTCCAAAACATGAGATATATTTCCAAATGCAAATAAAGCTTAGCATATATCCATTCTATCCAAAGATATACTTGCGCTCTGGTATAATCCCTTTGAACATACTTGAAGTCACCGTAGAGTGCGGGAGCATACTAGAATATACTTAACCATACGCGGGGGCAGGAGTGTATGCTGGGGTGGGTCTGTAAGTAGGTCTTGGTCTGTAAGTAGGTGTAGTAGGATGGTAGGACGGGGTGGTGTGGTATGAAGGGTAGTGAGGGTGGGTATGAGGGAGTAGGATGGTATGAGGGGGTGGTGCGGTATGAAGGGCTATGTGTAGGACGGTATGAAGGCGTAGGATGGTACGAAGGCTGGTGGGCTTGGTACTGAGCCTGTCCCTCGTACGTGACCTCGGCCACGTAGCCAGAGTCGCCGTCCACGTGGTAGGTGACTTTCTGCAGGCGACCGTCGGGAAGCTGCACGTAGTAGGACCCCTGGGTGTTGTAGCCGTCGCGGGACTCCTGGTGGCCGTAGTCGTTCCCGGAGTAGTCGTCCTTCACGACCCAGTTGAAGTCGTACTTGGGAGGAGCCTGTGGAGAAGGAGACAGAGTACTGAATGTTCGGTTACGTAATCTGAAGTCAAATTCAGTATAGAAATAATATAGACAATTTTAGGACGTAGATAAAATGGTCCAGACGAATTCAACGGAAAAGTACAATCAAAAAGAGATTTAATCGAGAAGTGAAATGATAAGGACAAAATTAACAGAAAATGTAGAATTATAAGAACAAATCTAATCTGGAAAGTGAATGATAAAGACGAACTGATTTTCCAAAATAGATAAATGAATAAAAAACAAAGACAAATCTAACCGAGAAAGAAAACGATAAAGACAAATCCTTAATACGATAGATGATATAAATAAATAAATAAAATCCCAAATATGTCACGAATGACACAGAAGTCAACCGAGAAAGAAAACGATAAAGACAAATCCTTAATACGAAAAATATAGAGAAAAAAAGATATATTTGACAAATGACTCTACCAAGAAATAAAACGATAAAGACAAATCCTTAATACGAAAAATTATATATAAAAATAATAAAAATAAAATTCAAAATCCCATCTATTTCACGAAGGACACAGAAGTCACCGAGAAATAAAACTCAAATCTTAATATGAAAAATGATATAAAATTCAAAATCCCATTTCACGAATGACAGAAATCTGCTTCTACCTCATAAGAAGCAGCAGGCCTATAAGAGGCTGGAGGAGCGTAGGCCGGAGCAGGTCTGTAGGCCGGGGCGGGCGCGGGCGTGTAGGCCGGAGCAGGTCTGTGTGTAGGCTGGGGTGGGGTGGTAGGGAGGGGCGGGCGTGTAGGCTGGGGTGGGGTGGTAGGGAGGGGCGGGGCGTAGGTGGGGCGAGGTCCTTCAGGGGCGGCCAAGGCGAGGGCGGCCAGAGATATCACGAGGAGAACCTGACGGAGGTATTTGTGATGGAGTATTGCAGAGTGTAAAAGTAACTATGATAATACATTTGCAAAAGTGATAATAATAAGTAAGTTGATCTATGCATGGATAAATGATTGAACAAAAAAGATGAATAACGTGAATAAAAATGAAAGTGAGAATAAAGATAAAGATGATAAGGTAAAATATGAATTGATATTTTGACACTTATCTATCTAGATCTGAGTGGATGTGTGTAAAAGTAACAAAAATGCGTGATGGTAGTTGTAAAAGTATGTGCTGATAATACATTTGCAAAAGTGATAATAATAAGTAAGTTGATCTATGCATGGATAAATGATTGAACAAAAATAGATGAATGACGTGAATAGAAATGAAAGTGAGAATAAAGATAAAGACGATAAGGTAAGAAATATGAATTGATATTTTGTCTTTACACTTACCTATCTAGATTTGAGTGGATGTGTGTGTAAATGTGTTTGTGTGTGTTTGTGTGTATGCGTCTGTGTTTGCGTGTGTGTGTGTGTGTATGTGTGTGTGTGTGTTTGTATGTATGTGTGTGCGTCTATGTGTGAGTGTGCGTACGCGTGTATGCATTGTATGACACAGCCTGAACTACCAATCGCTTCTGCAT